CTCCCATCTTTATCTGAGAGCACAACATGACTACTTATCAAGTTGTTTGGTAGATTATATGTTAATGTGATATTTACTGTTTTCAAATATTTGTGCGATAGGTCGTGCAAGAAGTTTCTGGAGTTATTCCACACTCCATACGCCCTTGCACTTCTCATACAGATGGTTTTACTGTGACTTTCAGTAATCGTTCTCAAGGCTCTCATTAAAGCTGATTTGCGCCTTTACGACGTGGATAATTACTGTTCGAGACTCCACATTCCCCCCAAGGTTCGATTTCTACATTTCTCTACATTACTCTGAGAGGGCACGGGGTAGCGTATTTGGTTGAGGTACTATGCTACAGGCTGGAAGGTCGCGGGATCGAATCCCGATGAGGTGGATTTTTTTCAATTTACCCAATCCTTCTAGCCGCATTCTGGCCATGGGTTCCACTAAGCCTCTAACAGAAATGAGTACCAGGAATATTCTTGGGGGTAAAGGCGGCCGGCTTGTGAGGCTGACAACCTCACCGCCAACTATGAGCCGAGTGTCTAGATAATGTGGGCCCTATGGGCCTCCACGGCCTGTTACAGGGATAGCTTTACTTTTTACGCTATTTGTAACTTTTAAACAGTAATGTAACGAGAGTTTAATTTAAAAAATGAAGCATGAAAGTGTGGAAACAATTCATTGCCACTACATTCCCACCCATTTACCCCAACTCCCAGCATTCCATGCAGGTGGTCTCTTCCAATCGCATTCTTGCCTTCGTCCCGCCCTGCTCTTCCTCGCTTGGCTAACCGTGGTCCATATAATGGAGTAGCAAGCAAAGGACCCATCCTTGTCTAGAAGAAGAAAAACGTGGAATGACAGGATTACAATAAGATGCTGCCGCATTGTCCTACATAGCTCCTTGGTTCGGCATCCTGTCTATAACCTACCGTCTAGGTAGCCAGTCTGTCAGAATCCCTTCCGTGCAGTGAGTTGTTCTTGCTTTATGAAAGCTTCTTTCATTTCAGCACGGATAAAATCGAGTACAAGCAGCTCATATAACAAAATATGGATTACAGCGATACAATAGTTCTGGCTAGCATTCAGATATCAGAATAGATATTTATGAGGACTGAGACGTTAGGGGAAACAGTCGCTACAAATGTGAAAGGAAGCAGTCTTGAAATGTTTTATGTCTTCAGCTTCCTTCTAAGCTCCAAACTTCAAAACACTATTTGTATACATCCTTATTTTTTGGGCTGTAAGTATACACCGATCCATCTTCAGGCTACCCTGAAGATAGAGGCAATAACTTCCTCCGAAACGTTGCTAATTACCTGTCTACATGGGATCACATCCCCAGAAGTCAGTCATCTTTATAATAACTGTCAAGAGAGCCTCAGACATTAGAATAGTTCTTACAGAAATAGTGAGAGTCACCTGGAGTCAAATCGCTCACCACTGGAACATATGGTGCGCTGCTGTGAGCACAGTAATGCAATTCCAGGGTCCATAGCAAGCTGTGATTCTCTTGACTAGCTGAGCGACTGCTAGTTTTTTAAGAATGACTCTGATCTGTGTTACTGAATATACAGTCCCGATGAGGTGGATCTTTTCAATTAAGCTAATCCTTCCGGCCGCACTATGGCCCTGGAGTCGACTCAGCCTGTAACAGAAATGAGTACCAGGAATCTTCCTGCGGGTTAAAGTCACGCTGGCCGGCGCATAGGGCTGACAAACGTACCGCCATCTGTGAGCCGATTGTCTACAGAAAATGTGGGAGCCTCGAAGTCTCTCAACCCTATGACCTTGACGGCCTGTTACAGGGATAGCTATTATCTACAATTTAAGAACAAACACCTTTTTGTAGCTTCACAGCACTCGCTCCGAAAGTAATGCTGTATTCTTACAAGATGTTTGCAAGGAATGGTACAGGCTAGACGGTTCTTGTTCGCTGTCCGGCCACGCAAGAACGTTCCATCCCGCCACCTCCGTCAAACCGGCACTCGTGCCCTCTTACAAGTCTTCTGTTGAATGAGTTAAGGCTCTTGATCAGAAGATATTGAGCCTTGAACATGAAGCTGGCCACTCATCTCAAACTCGTGTCGAGATACAGAATTCCTGTAGCTTATTTGCTCCCAGGTCGTGGTGCTTAAGCATAGTGAAGTAAGTTTGAGTCCTGCATCCTAAGTACAGATACAGCATCGTGTAGACCTCTGCTTGCTACCTGCTTCAGTTGGCTTATTCTTCGTCCTAAAATGGAAGCGACTTGAAAAGTCTGTTGATTTTCAACGGACGTTGTATCCCAGAAGATACGTCTTTATAACTACCGCTGTGAGAACCTCAAATCATACATTGGTGCAGATTTATTCTACAGGAAGTCGGAGACAGATAACCTTCGAAAACCTGCAAGCCTGTGCACTTTGCAGAAAGGATGGGCAAAGTCGAAAACAAACTTCAATTTAAGCAGATATAAAATTCTGTGCCTTCAATATCTTACGTAAATCACAGGGTTAAACTGATACACAGGAAGACATAAACCATTTTGAGTAACTGGATGCATCCATGCTTTTGGATTCGTAGAAACCTGAGAACCTTCACAAACAGAAATATATTATGTAAGGTTTGAGGTTTTCACGGCGGTGACTATGAAAAATGCCGTTTTTCTGGGATGTGGAGCCGCGTTGATCTTGTGTGAACCGACGTTTGGGAGGAATCAGCTGGTTCCTCGCTCGCGGATTTTTCTACTCTGTAGATGGAGGCGGTACGTTCCTTCGAAACGTCGGTTCACACAAGATTCACGCTGCGTCACGTCCCAGAAGACGGTATTCTTCAGAAATATATCAGATATAAAAGTGCTGGAAATGTATTTTAGAATTTTAGAATCTTAAGAGAAAAAGAAGCTATAGTGTGGAACAGACGGCACGAAAGTGGTGGTTGATGGTAGGAGACATGTATTACCAATGCATTAGTCTTTTCACGGTCTCTTCAAGAGAAGAAATGGGTCACGTTTGTACGTAGTTACGAGGAGCCGTGTTTACGTAGCCTCTACCATGGCAACTGTCTTGTAACAAAAAGCTTTAAGAGCAAAGTAACATGAGGTATCCATCGGCTAATGTGTTTAGCAGGACAATAGATCCCAGACAGTTGCATGAGCGTCTACGGTGAAAGGTTTTTCCCGTGTTATGTTGAAAATATAGATGCATCCTTCAGACATGAATGATTCTGTATAAGAGCAGGAAGGCTGCCACATTTGTATTGTGTTGTAGCCTTATTTGACCATACTGCTAGTTGTCTATTGTATGAGCTGTTTGCACAGCTCAGGCATCTTTCAAAACGGCAAGTTTCATCTTATTTTTGGTTGAATTCTTATCCGTTTTTTGGAATTCAGTACGGCGGAAAATGCGAGCATATCAAAAATAAAGATAAAAACATTAACGCATGTGATATTTTAGACGTAATGTGGACATAAGCAAGGCAGCCACGACTGTCCTTATCGAATTTCCAGACACCGACGTGCGATCGAAATCGCGACCTGTTAAAAATCGTCACTAGCGCTGGTTAGCACAAGCCAAAACTGCACGATAAATTTTAATGTCTATACGAGTTACTTACGTCGTATTTGAAGGATGCCGTCTTCTTGGATGTGGCATCGTGTAGATCTTATGTGAACCGACATTTCGGAGGGACGAATCACCTCCATCTTCAGGGTAGAAAAATCCGCGAGCGAGGAACCAGCGTGAGCAGGTGGCTCGCGGATTTTTCTACCCGGAAGATGGAGGGCATACATTCCTCCGAAACGTCGGTTCACACAAGATCTACACGGCGCCACATCCCAGAAGACGGCATTCTTCATAGTCACCGCCGTGAAAACCTCAAATCTTACATACGTGTATGTCGCTTTTGTTTCAGACAAACTTAAAAATATGCAGTTCCTCGGGACGCATTTTAACTGTGTTTACGAACATGTTTATGCTGTTACTTGAGCAGAATAAGAACAATACAAAGAGGAAGAGCGAGCAGACCGATGTAGTGACAAAACTCTAGATTTCATTAAGGTGCTGTCCGAATTTCGGCCGCGACACTGACTATACTGGCTGAGCTTTTCGGTAGGTACTCCGATTAGGCCACGACCGCTGCCTTCCAAATCCTTCTGAATATATTATGCAGAAATCAACCCACATTTGACGCCATATAATCTGAAGAACTGATGGCTTAGTAAAATAAATCACAAAGCAAGAACAAGAATTTCTCTTACAGGCTACAAAAAAAAACTGGTTCAGATATAAACTAGATTACACTAATTAATTTTGTAGAATTATAAAACGCGTTCGAAAATATTTAAGAATTAAGTTGGCCTTTTCAAGAAAACCAACAACAAATTGAAGTCCATGACATTGTTAGCAGAAACGTAGACAGATTCAGAACATTCTGTTTCCTGTTCAAAACACTAAAGACGAAGACGTATGATGCAATAACTTTGAGGGTGATTTCTATTTTCCTAAAGATAAACATAAATTACTGTTTCCTGAACACCAAGTGCTCAAGGAACTTCGTGAACAAGCTAGCCAATTCTCTTATGGAGCCATTCTGTGTACCGCAAGCGCACATGCGCACTCAGAAGAGAGTATAAAACCGAAATTAAAATAAAATTAAAAACAATTGATTCTTTCTTGACAACACATTGCAAATATTTCTACTCTTGAACTTTCAAGAAACTGAAAAGGAGAAGGCCTGCTTGCGTCTAACTAGTAAATAGCTTGTCAATGTATTGTAATCACGAATTTAAAAGAGATCACTAGGGTAACAAAACAAACTCCGTGGTTTTAGTCCGCAAGCGAATTATATTCCAGCGCCGCTTCCTATTGCATCACTGCCAACTCTTCGCTGACATCCACGGTAGGGGCATACACAGCATCACTGCATAAAACTTTGCCTGCGCAGTTCCTATCAGGTTCATACAACACGAACTTCCAAACCTGCATTCGGGAGCTAGATCTACAAAATTTGAATCTTTTTCGACTTACCGGTCATTGTGATCAAGTTTCCTTCAGCCTTTCCAGACAAAGCACATAATCTTGAAAAAGGCCATAACTGTCATTTCGAACCGTTATACTGGCCCTGGTTGGTAATCCCGATTCGGTGCTGCATAAGCTCTGAAATTGAAAGAGTGTCGTTAAATAACCTAATTTATATAAATAAAGACATTTATAAGTATAAATTTGTCAACAATTTCATGTTATTTACTCGCGACAACAAATATTTCACAAAGATTAAAATATAAGACATTAAAGGAGTTAAAATGAAAACTCAGCTCTGAGGAAAGTGCAAGCAGGTCCTAGACGCAATTCGACCTGTAAAATGAAGGAAACGAAGAACATCAGCAGCTCTGCTTTCTGAATTTCGAGGAAACGAACACTTTGGATTGCAACTGTCCGGCTGGTTACCTCTTTCTGATTCAGAGCAACTGAATGACAGAAGAGTTGGGAGCGCTGAGAATATCAGCACCTATGTTTGCCTTCTTTTGGCGTGAGTTATTAGTACACAATACATTTCACTTTAATAGGCCTGTATAGGTCTACATCCATTTCGGACCAGAAACACACAAACGTATGAGACAAAATGATGCACATGTGCTGACAAGCTATTTAACGACTCTTAGCCAACATTTTTTTTTGAATATTTTACCAGACATCAATCTAATCAAGCAGGCAACTTCAAAATATCTTAAGCTCTATTATCCTCACCGAGCAGGATAACGATCTAGACTCCTATTCGTGGGAGGATATACCAGGTTCGAATCCTGGTAGCCTACTAGCAAGAATTTTTTTTTATAATTTATTTCTGTTCATATGGACGCCGACATAATAGATCTATCTTAAAACAGGCTACGACCGCTTTCTCCCAAACCAGTATACATTCAATATGATTGATGAACTTCGTATATCACTCAACACCATAATGTCTATATTTGAAAGGGGTTAGTTACATGTGATCTAAGAATCAATATCATTCTCCCATCCACGTTTTGATCTTTCAATTTACCACTTTATCCGGCGCCCCTTTTTTAATGTCTTATTTCTTCACCATTATACTTATATTATTATATTATATTATTATACCAGTATACTTATAACGTATATACATATGTGTGAGTATCCTTGCATTTGCACGCACGTACTACGTGCGTACATATATACGTGTATTATAATTGTACGTAGGACAAAGGCTTAAAAGCGTCCCACTTTTTCCGTGCATACAGCACAAGGGCAGACGCAAAGGTAAACTAAACAATCAGCTTCGTTTGCAGTGAATCCATCCATTTATAAGGTCAGAAAAAATTCAGAAACCATTAATTCTTAAATTTTAAACCTCACTCTTGTAAAACAAAATTTTTCCAGAGAATGCCACTTTAAAAAATGAAAAACAAAAGATTCCAATTTCATCCCTCATTGACAGTTTCCTTTTAATCATAAGGGAGAAGAAGAGAGACAGAGCAATGAAATTATAAATGTTGTGAATAGATATACAATAGAAGGGGCACGCGGTAGCGTAATTAGTTCAGGCACTATGCTACAAGCCGGAAGGTCGCGGATCGATTCCCGATGAGGTTATCGGATTTTTCAATTGTTCTAATCCTTCCAGCTGCTTTATGGTTCTGAGATTGACTCAGCCTCTAACAGAAACGAGTACCAGGAATCTTCCTAGGGGGCAAAGGGCGGCCGGCGCGTAAGGCTGACCTCACCGCCATCTGTAAGCCGACTTTCTAGAGAAAATGTGGGAGTCTCGACGTCTCACAACCCTATGGGCCTTCACGGTCTGTTATAGGGATACCTTTCCTTTTACCTTTTTATATTAGCAAAAATAATAACACAAACTCCCGACGGACTGAAAGTAAAAATAACAACTCCTTAATAGCAAACATGGAACATTAAATCACGCGGATGATTCTGATAATTATACTGGCTGAATTATAATCCATTATTTCTTTAGACAGCTTCAATCATAGCGTCTTTGTTCCAAGACCCTTTGAAGCATCTTCACAGGAACGTGTACAATACAACAAGAGATATCATGTTAAGAAATCCTAGATATCGTTTCCGGGACGACAGAAGGAACAACAAAAGGAACGAGGATCAATGTGTTTGCTCTTTCAGTGCAGCATTCTTTGTTCAGACCAATCCTGAAGTTAGTATCTAAACGACTTCCAATTTCAAATATAGATTGAGCCTCTGTGTGGTACAGAACAGCTAACACGTGCATTTCTGATTCTCGCAGAAGGACTGACATAAACCGCTGACAGTGGCTCATCTCCCCGCTGCACAAGGGCAAATAAATAAGCACTGGGCGACTATTTAGATACAGAACTAGTACATAAATACGAGGATAACAGCACAGGCTACTGCTTAGAAGAGGGACGCTACTTAAGTACGAGCCCTCTGCTTAAATACTGCGCTACTAGCTAAGTGCAGGGCTCTACTTAACTACAGGGCTGTTACTTATATACTTAGTTAACTCTTAATTAGAATACTGCTTAAATATGAGGCTAGTATTTAGTTGCACGTTTAATGCTTAAGTACAGGACTACTACTTAAAATACTGTGACATATATATATCCATTGCTAGACAACGACTCAATAAAGACATTTCCGCAAAGCATTCGCATGCAGCAGAATGACGTCCATTCTTAGGTAACGAACCAGTAAACACGCCTGCTTAATACTAGAGTTTGTGTTTTCTGTGTGGTCTGTGTAGTTTTGTTTGAGTGTTGTGTCTTATTGTAGTACCACTGCCACCGGGAAAAAAACCCATTTGCAGTTTAAACAAATAATAATAATAAGAATAATTAGATATTCGAATATTATTTTATAGGAAACTTTGAAGATAAATAGCCATTTGGAAGATCTAGATGTGAATGGAAGAATAATGATGTGACATGAGCTCGTTATGGAGTCACTATCACTTGGCAAGAAATTGAACCCTGCAGAAGTAAGGCATGAAGATATGAAGTGGGGAGAGGTTTGTAGGAAGAGCTTATGTGAGCAGAGCAAGCAACCTTCGGGTTCCATAACAGCAAGAAATTGCTTTACCAGATGACTGATTCTCAGCTACTGAAGGATTCCCTTCTATCATTAATTTAGCCAGTAAATTCGTGTATTGTCTTGCGAAATTACTGGGGTGACGTAAAATAGGATAAAAATTTGTAGCTATTAAAAACAAATACGAGTATCATGAAGTGTAGCTTATTTGGATCAACTCATTCAAACAGGCATTAAATATCTGCATACAAGACCCACTGAATAAACAAGCGAGAATGATCAAGGATATACATACTGAAATAATCTCTGGATACATGAAAATTTACTCACACACTTGAAATGAAATGCATCCATGTGTGTGGAACTCACATACTATCATAACATTATTGTTGACTGCTTCTGTATATGGCCAACAGGCATACAAGAACTGCCGCTTATGCAAACACATTTCATGAATTCAATTAATGTCGATTTTATGTCATTTATATTTCGCTTAAGAGCGGGGCGGTGGAACCTGTTTGCAGTTAATATTTACTTGGCCTGAAGGCTATCGAAAATTATCAAAATATACTATTTATTTTCCCTACTGTCTTACTTCGTTCAAGTGAAAAAATATTTAGTTGAACTTTGTACAGAACACAATGCTGTACAGAAGATATGGGTTCACACTGCTGTTCCAGTTTCATGAAGATCTAGAAACATCATAGGATAATGTGGTCGAAGCATTTTAACGCTTCGTTAGTTCGCGGCATGAGCTACACATATCAACTAAATTTAATTGCAACTACTTATAAAATTTATCAATACATGTATGTTTAAATTACTTTGACGTTAGAAATATCCTACGTACTCATACTACAAAATGTCTCTACTATTTGATCACCCCTTGAAGATGACAGTTCTCTGACCGGAACATATGAAGGAGTAATGGTATTTGATGGGCCGCTCCATAGCGGACCGGGTTCGATACCGGGTCTGGTGAAGTGGGATTTGTGGTGGACAAAGTGGCGCTGGGGCAGGTTTTATCCAAGTACTTTCCCTGCCAAACCTCATTCCACCAATTGCTCCACAATCACCCGCTCCTATCATCTGGGGCTGGTACAATAGGCCAGAAGTAGCCGCAGTACAAGGGACTTAGTCCCATCCCACTAGCAATAAAGAAAAAGGTATTTGATCAGTGAAACTAAAAAAAATGATATATATATATTACACCTCAATTGTGCTTCCCCTTTTTATTTTAATGAAACTTATACTTTACACATTAAATATTGTCACGTCTTATGGATGTGTGTGACTATAGGAGGGGTATGGATCAGATGAAAATACCGGCCGTGGGGATTCGTTGCGCTGACCACGAGACACCCTCTATCCGCTAAAGTTGGCACTAACTTCGCTGATACGCGGCGGTCGCTCGGTCGGTATAGTTCGCTTGCGGACTGAAGCCACGGAGTTTTTAGTTTATGGATCAGGTGAATTGAATTTATTGACAACTTGTATGCACCATTCAAGACTACGCTTTAGAGATCACTAACACAGATTAGTGCCCTCAGTCTATTGCAGTCTCGACTATCCGTTTCCTGGCAACGGATTTTAACACTGGAAGTATAAGAGTCTCACTGAATTACACACTCCAAATATCACTGTACTATGGGACACGTAAAGTCTTCTCTTCACAGCCCGACTGTCAACTGAACTCCAATTCACTAGCTCCCTCCTTTTATAACCATTTTGTACGGTCCGAACACAAAACATATTTCCCAACAATACCTTAATTGTTGCTTGCCTCTCCGCTGTCGCAGAAACTCCTTTACTGATCCGTTGCCTAGCAATGTACGTCTCCTCTGACTCCACAATTGAGGCCTTCAGGCGTCACGTCGCAATATACAAACTCAAGGCGCAGAGTTATTCAGAAGTTGTTGATCGCTCAGTTAATGAAGAATATCAGGGCCTAGTATGGAAACAGAAGGTTCATACTCACCCATAATGGGGCTCTTTCTGAGCCTGTTTAATCCAGGTCAGCACATAACATTTCACCACACATGACTGAATTTTAATCCATGCATGCCTAATGACTAAATTTTACGAAAAGAAACCAATGTAATAACTGTCCATGTTAG